TCTATCTATCTATCTATCTATCTATCTATCTATCTATCTATCTATCTATCTATCTATCTACATTTTTGTATTTTTGACCAGAAAGCTAAGTTTATTTCACAAATTTTATTAGCACTAAGACCTTGAGGAGGGCGGCAGGGGAGGGCATGTCAGTGAATGCTTTGAAGCTCTTGGTTATGAAAAATGCCCCAAATATTGGTGATATTGATGAATTCAAGTGGATTATACAATGACGTTAGAATGCTGAAGTGTAATTTTTTCCTTACTAAGCATAAAGTTCCCAAAGCAATACTGAGGTAAATCCTCCCATTTCCAAGTAGATCTTAGTCACATGTGTTTCTTCACATTTCTCTCAGAATCGGCTCTTGTGCCTTTTGCTGTAGCAGGAAGTCGGCTGTGCTTGTGGGGGATAGAACCACGGAGCTAATCTCCATGCTGTAGGAGATAAGGGCAGTGAGAAAAACCAAAATACAACCCCTTCTGGCCAGTAGAAGGAGAAACATATCAACTTTGGAGAAAAGAACAATTAGAAGAAAAGAAAGATGGGAAGAGAGTCCTGGGAGAATAAAGGTTCAGAAATCTGACATTAGTTTGGAGTTCTGATTCTATTCTGCTCGAATAAGAATGTGTGAAGGTATAGAATGTGTGAAGGAATACAGAAAAATTAGGTCGCCCCCACCCAAAAAAAAGAAGCAAACAAACAGGCAAACAAAGCCCACAGGTGTTTGGTACTACTCAACAAGGCAAGATAGAGCACTTGGGACGCTGGGGCATGATAATCTAGTAACCCTTTCTATTCCTCCTGCTTCTGTTCAGTTCCTATGATGGGCACTCACATGCCAATGGCTGGAGACATGAATGGACTCAGCCCCACCCAAGCCCTCCCTCCCCCACTCTCCATGCCATCCACCTCCCACTGCACCCCCCCACCTCCGTACCCCACGGATTGCAGCATTGTCAGGTGAGTACACAGCCTGTGCTCCTGGGGGCAATCCTACGCATCTGTGGGTGGAGGGCCCATACTGGCAAAGCCGATAAAACAGCTGAGAAGAAAGAAATGTCTTGTGATTTAAGGAAGTTGAGTCTGGCATAGCTCTATCGAGAACCCCTACAACCAGTGTGGGGAGAGTGAAATTAGATGCACGCAGGTTTCAGACCTGTTTCTTGGTCTTCACTTACTCCCTTCTCCTCCCTCCTGTTTTTACAGGTCAGTTGTGGCCCATGAATTGGTGCTCAGGGCTGGGGTTCCCCAGAGGGATGTACACTGGCTATCCTGCTCCCTTTCCTGCTCTCTAAGGCCTCACAGCTCTCAGCCACCACGGGACCTAATTTTGGAGTTGGTTGTCTATAAAAAGTTTTAATATTAGCAAAAAATGTGAAATTTAAAGGAGCGCCTGCCACTCTGCTGGGAAGTGGGGATACTCCAGGAAAGGGGGTTTCATATAGGCAGAAGATAACAAAGCCCAAGAGGTGTTTCTCACAGAAGCACATGCAGCTCCACATTTCATGGCTAACGTTGGTCCTCTGCTTCAAGGGAAGCATCCTTTGTCCCTTTGGCTTCTAGCGGAGTTCATTTTGTCCATGTGCAATCTTAGCCACAGAGACAGTGTAGTATGGAGCTTAGATCAGCAGAAATTGGCCTTGGCATAGGTAGTGATATCACCAGTTTCAGGCCAACCTTACAAGGAAGAATGTTTGTGTTTTAAGGACACAAATCAAGAAGTATAGATGATCTTCTGGAGCATTAGCCTACAATATCTTCACTATCTAAAACAGTCTGAGAAACGCCCAAACACAAAATCATAAATGTAGAGATTCTCAATTTGATGTGATCCAGGAGGCAAGAGGAGCGGGAACTTAATCCCTGGGTCCTTCACCTGTATCTCCTGGAGCGGCCCCTCCTGCAACTACGTAAAACCTTAGGATACCTCAAGTCCCCCCCCCATCAAAAAATCACCAGTTTCCAGAAGCTTCTCCTTGATTTTGGTGGCAGTTTTCTGAAAGTCCAAGTTTCTAACTATCCTCAAAGCTCAGATCCAAGCCTACCCCCCGCCATACATGCACACTCCAATTGCCCCCATTCTCTTACGCAGGGCATCCAAGGGCAAAATGTTGGGGTTTCCTTTATCTTGCCAATGCAGTTGGGGTGAACTTTCTTTTTCTGTTTCCTCCTTCCTCTTCCCTTCTCCCTCTGCAGTTTCTTAGCAAGGTTGGGCTGTTCATCATGTCTGGACTATTTCACGACCCAGGGGCTGACCACCATCTATCAGATTGAGCATTACTCCATGGATGTAAGTAATTGCTAGACTTTTCTCTCTCGAGTAAAACTTCTTCATTTTCTCCCTCTGGTACATAATGCCTCATAGTTCCATCCACGCTAGTTTTAAACTTCTGTTCAGGTCACACATCTAATCCTCCATTCTGATGGAACCCGTATCCCTGTTAGAAAGATTCTCCAGGTTAGAGGAGCAGCAATCATGTGCCCGATCCATCACCTGTGGCCTATTGCACTCATGTGCATGCAAATTGAGAAGGAAAATATTTAATTCAAACCATCAAGAAGTTTTAATCTCAAGACACGTGGCTGAGAGCCAAGCAACTGGGAGGCTGAAACAGGAGGATCACTTGGGCTCAGAAGTTTGAATCCTGCTGGGGCAACAGAGCGAGACGTCCCCAGAGATGGCTTAGAATGATCTCGTTCAACCGTTTAAATCATCTAGCCCGAGAGCGGAGAGGACATAGTGTGTTTCTCTTTTAAGTATACAGAGAAATGATCAAATTGTCATTGGCCATAGTGAGGTGATGGTGGAATCACTAAGAGGGGCCTGGTTGTCAGTCTCTAGCCTGTGACCCTGTTCACTGGCCTTTTCCATTTCCCAAAGTAAGGGCTTTAAGGGTGGGTCAGCTGTTCCTTTCACTATTTTTTGATCCTCCATCCAGTTCTAATTCTGTCAGCCCAGCTCACTGCCCCTATCAGGAGTTCAAGTCCTGGGCATGCGCTTTCATAGCAATGAAATTTGAGGCTGTTACTTTGCCTCTCTGGGGCCTCCAGCTAATCCAATTGAGTTAGAAATTGCTCCCTCCTGACTCTGGCCTTCTTTGAAACAAGCTGCATGTGATGGAATGTTCTCTTGCTTTCAACCTCATGTCTCGAGCTTCTGCTTACATGGGAGCTGCTTTGTTGGCATTTTCAGTGACCTGACCCTCCCCATTCTTCCTCAGCTGCCCTCTCTACTGCTCTCTTTGGCCTTTGCGGTCCTCTGGTCTAGCTTCCAGATGGTGCTTTGGAGCGATGGGAGCAGACAACCTCTGCCTCTGCTGCTGCTTCTGTACCGGGGACTCCTTCCCCTCCTTGAGCACCGATACTTAGAGATGCCCCGAAAGCATGAGAGTGGCCCAGCCCCAGAGGGATGAGTGTATACCATGCTGCCTCGTGCCTATTCCCCTCCACTCCGGAAGTCACCCCTGGTGCTTCCTTGTTAGAGCATATCACCGGTTAAAAAAAGAAACTACAGAGAACACTTTAAGAATAAGTTCTGCAAGGACTTTGATAACTTAAAAATCACTTCTGTCCACTGGTAAAAACAGAGTGGCCCCATATTTGAGAAACACCTGACGTGGAGTCCTGTGTGGTGGAACAGGAAGTCTGCCCCTTCCCTCTGCTTTGACATAACACCTGTTACTTGTAGGCCTGTCCCCTGCAGGGAGTGCCGGGATGCCCCTGCAGCCGTTAACATGCAGAGGTGCTTTGCACAAATCTTCCTCTGCTGGTGTTGCCTCGTAAGTGGTGCTGAGAGCATGGAGTCTGGGGCTCGTTCAGGGTTTCGGAAGTGTAAAGAAGTGCAAAAGCAAAAGAGCACCCTAACTTAATCTATGTGTTGAGTGTCTTCTGCAACAGAAGAAGTTAGTAGCTGCGATGGTTGAAAACCCATTTAATGGGACAACATGACACCCTATTGCATATTTCTGAGTTGGGAAGCATTGGAAAGCTATTCAGATTTCTCATCTCCTTCTCCCTTCCCTGCATATACCTACCTCCCTACCCCCCGGTGTCTTCCTGCTCATTTCTGGAAACAGATACCACATGTGTCTGGGCAGCAGCCAGTTATTTTAGTGTCCCTTTCTAGTAGAGAAATAAGAATACATTGGGTATCTTCAGATGTAAAGTTGAGTTCATAATATAAACGATAAACATTATAGTATGTATTTTGTAATTTACACAGCACTATCATACCCACACTTGCCTATGAGCCCATAGTATCTAGAATGCAAAGAAGAAATTGTATCCAATGTATACAAGTAGGAAACTAAGATCAGATTAACATCTGCCAAGCTGCTTTCTGCCTGCTCTGCTCATTGAACTGTAAGGTATATGGAAAAAAAAAGAAGAAGAAAAACCTAATGTCAATACATACAAGACATGTACAAGCACCTACTTAAGACTGACCCTATTGGAAAGGCCTCTTGTCCCTCCCATAGTGCATAGATACAACTGCTGTACACTTTGATGGATTTTATTCAGACACTGTGAGACTTTTTGATCCATAGGATAATTTTAGGCTCAAAAACTATCCCCTAGTTCACAATGTATTCACATTGTTACATAACATCAAGGCTTGATAACCTTCAGTTTTGCTCTCCATTAAAGTAGGTATAATAATATCCATCACTGATTTCAGGATTACATCAGATTATGAATATAAACTAGTCTATTCAAGAAACTTAATTCCCATTCTCCCTTCTTCCCCCACTGATAGTGACCTTCCATTAATACCTTTCTTCTGGTGGCTAAAGCCCCACAGGTTTGAATCATGAAGAACCTTACATTTTTTTTTTGAGATATTTGCCCTCTTACATAACTACTATCTACACTGTTTCGCATATGGAGAAACTGAGGCCGGTGGAGAACAAGCAAATTATTGTCCACAGCACAGATGAGACACAGCATAGCAGTAACATAATACACTGAAGACTACCAGAAAGCTAATTTTATTTGCCAAGTTAGTGATAATCAATTCATATAATTCCAGCCAGGAACATCAGAGAATGAAAAACAGCATGCAATAAAAGTCTAGGTGACCGCCTTCTAATGCCTGACCTCCTCCCTGTTGCACAGGATTTGGCAAGTCTGAAGATCCCCGAGCAGTTCCGACATGCCATCTGGAAGGGTATCCTGGACCACAGGCAGCTGCATGACTTCTCCTCGCCTCCTCATCTCCTGAGGACCCCAAGTGGTGCCTCCACAGTCAGCGTGGGCTCCAGCGAGACCCGGGGTGAACGCGTGATTGACGCTGTGCGCTTTACCCTCCGCCAGACCATCTCTTTCCCACCCCGCGACGAGTGGAACGACTTCAACTTTGACCTGGATTCTCGACGCAACAAGCAGCAGCGCATCAAAGAGGAAGGGGAATGAGCGCCCTGCCACATTGCTGGGCTCTTCCTCTGGGCTTCCGCCCACCCCAGCCCTTGCAGGGCATACCTGCTTGCTCTTCACAGCGTTCTTGCTAGCTCTTCCCCTTCCCCTGCTCAGTCTAGTCTCTAAAGAGACAGAGAAGAGGTTACCTGTTACCTAAAGTCTGACCTGTCATCTGATTCTGATTTTGGCTTTAAGCCTTCAAAACTCTTGCTTGCAGGATGCGCTGACGTTGCTAGATAGAAGTTAGCAAAGAAGCAATGGGTCTCGTTAAGCAGCGGAGATCTCTCATTGACTTTTATAAAGCATTTTCAGCCTTATAGTCTAAGACTATACATATAAATATATAAATATACAATATATATTTTGGGTGGGGTGTTGAGCATTGTTTAAATGTAATTTAATGGAACTTGAGTTGCACTTATCAACCTTCTTTGAAATTTGCTTGTTTTGGATGGCTGATCTGTACCCCTTTCTCACGGGTATCGTGTATGGTGACAGATTTCTAGAGTTGAATGGTCTACGTGAGTAACAATGATGTATAGGTCCTCTCGGTTCTTCGGATGGTTGGATTTTAGCACATCAAACCTGTGGATTCATCCAGTGTGTTTCTTACTATGATGGAAAGCTGTATAAGTCTATGTACACAGGTTTGTTTGTTTGTTTTCTCTGTCAGTGTATTTTATGTTACTGGTGTCCACTCCAGTTAGGTTGGTTCACTCTGTGGTTATTACAAACAAGATTTTATGTTCAGTGTGTCACACACGATAGGAGAGGGCATCATCTCTTGCTTTTGTTTGAAAATGAGGAATGCAGTTGTTTGTTTGGGTTTTTTGTTGTTGTTGTTTTTGTTTTTGTTTTTTTAATTCTTAAATGGTCCAAGGCAGCCATTCCAAACATCTGATGAGATGTAGCCAAATATAGCCCCTTGAAATTTAAGGCCCAATCCCTAGTATTTATTGGGAAAACATTTGCTGCCATTAGAATAACCCTAAAACTAAATTTCACTACTAGACTGACCAAGCAAAATATATATTCTCTGCTGTTGTGAGAATCTGGGCCAACTAGTCAGGATGAGTAGAGTTTGTCTAGTTTTTACAGGGAGCTGTAACGTCTATTAGGAATATTCAGGAAAAACAAGAATGACTCGGAAATACCGAGTCTCCACTGAAAAAAGAAAGATATCCCACCAGACTCTGAATTTAAATTCCTTTTGAAGCAGAGAGCTGTGCTTGGGAAATGTGTGCCTTTTAAAGTCTTTCCTGTCCGTAAGACACTGCATGCAAAGGCTGGCTTATCTCTCTTCAAGGTCTAAAATAAGAGCAGTGGTTTGGAAAGCACAAACCAAGGAGTGCACTGCTTTTACTCTCCTCTGGATCATCAAAGCCACACTGCTTTGGAAAGCAGATGTAAAGATTCAGTTTTCCACCTGACTCCTTCCAGGCCATGTGTAGACCAAGAAAAGTCGACATATCAAGGGCAAACTTTTTCACTGAAGGTGTTTAAACTGCATGGACAAAGACTTGTTTTTAGGCTTTGTGAAGGCACACAGTGACAGTGTTCCCCCCTGAATGTTTTGGAAACATTTTGAGACAAATACATGTTTTCCCAGTCTAAAACATGTGTTGTGTATATGCTAATGAGCTCTAAAATCCTCTCACCCACATGAGCTCCCATTTTTATTTTAAAGTGCAAATGGGCTAATACGCCTTTGAAATGTAATGTCTGGATTTCTCCAGAAAACCATATATTGTGTATATGCATTTGTGTGTGTGTGTGTGTGTGTGTGTGTGTGTATGTGATTGCGTGTGATTGCATATCTTGCTGTTTTTGTTTGTTATGGTTTTTTCTTTGGGATAGTTGGGCTTTCCAGAACCACGGATGAAACTTTTTTGTTCTTTTTTTCATATATTGACAGAAACACCATTTACTGAGAATATGATGTCAAATAAGACAGGATACCTTCATTGTAAGATTGGGGGGGGGGGAGAAAGTTTTTTTTTTAATTTTTTTAATTTTGTATGTTAAAAAAATGAGTCCTTAATTTCAACCTTTTGTTGTGTTTAAATAATGATTTTAAGCATTGTTAATTTCTGTAACAAGCTCACAGCTTTGCAAATTCAGTAGGTGGAACACGAAGCTGTGTCTTGGTCATGCTAGGAAGACAAATGGCTTCCTGTGTGTTGTGAATATCCGGGCTATTTTAGCACTGTCAAGGTGGCACTGGGGAACCTGACGCATTTCAGCACTATTTAGGTAGCACTAGGGACTCTGAAATTCCTGTACTGTATCCAAAGATTTTGGCACCAGTCTTTGCCACAGGTAGGCACAGTTCCTCTCCTCACACCAGGGCTGGGTTTGTGAGCAGTAAGAACTGCAGTGAAAAGGTATAGAGAAGTGTCTGCTCAATGCCTCTCACTGGAGAATGAGGTTTCTTTGTTTGGCAATGAAGTAACCAGGATAGAAAAAGCAGGATTCTCTTATTAATCCAGTTAGCTTTTGCTTTCTTGATATTCCCCCAAATACAGATGGGGGATGTTGACTATGAGAGATATGTGGGTTTTTTATTTTTATAATTGTACAAAATTAAGCAAATGTCAAATGTTTTATATACTTTATTAATGTTTTTTGAAAGGTACTTTCATATAGACATGATACTTTTTTTTTTTTTTTACAGCTTCAGTTGCTTGTCTTTTGGTATTTTTTTGTGTTATGGGCTTTGGTGAGCCAGAGGCAAATCTATAAGCCACTTTTGTTGCCAGGACATGCAATAAAATTTAAAAATAAATGAAAATACATTGAGAAATTGTGTTAATGCCTGTTTCTATCTATTTGCTCTTCCTTCAGACATCTTGGCCTTATTTCTCTTGCTGTGGGAGGGGAAGAAATACTTCAACTGAGGTCAAAAAAGAGTTTGCTGTCTAAATGGAGACTAGACTTCAGTGTGTCCTATGTTTTCTATTTTTTAATTGAAAATAAACTTTTGTACAATATATTCTGATTATTATTTTCTCCTCATCTCCTTCCAGATCCCCCATCCGACTCCATACCTTTCCTTTCTCTCTGTCGTTGGAGAATAGGCAAAAAAAAAAAAAGTAAAAAAATAAAATCTCATACAAAGCACTATGAAAAAAAATCTCTGAAAATGCCTTTGAGTTTGTATTGAGTTTATATTGAGCAGTATTTTGTACCAGTCTACTGCTAGGCATGGGGTCTGTCCTTGAGTGTGGGTTGTAGAGCCAGTGAGACTTCCCTGGAGAAAGCTAACTTTTCCTTTATAAGAGATTGTCAGTAGGAGATAGCTTCTTGGTTAGGGATGGAAGATCATGGCAGTTGTCCCCTCTTCGTGCTGGGACCCTACCTGGCTTTTACCTATGTAGTCCTTGGGCATGCTACCAAGGCCTGAGTTCATTCATGCCTTTGTCCTACTGTGTCTAGAAGGCACTGTTTCCTTGCTGTCTTCCATCCACTGGCTCTCACAGTCTTTCTGCCTTCTTATCCCTGAGATCTGAGAGGAAAGTTGATGGAGACATCTCATTTAGCACCGGGAATTCTAAGGTCTCTCATTCTCTGAACATTATCCAACATTGGCCAGACAAGTATATATTCTACTTTTGACTGCACGACCATCCCATGTGATGTTTATAAATAGCCTCTTCAACACTGAAGGAACAATGTGCAGAACACCCTGGTTATATAGGGAGATAGTGGCCTCTGAGTGAGATAGTCCAAGCAATATCTTTCCATTAAGTACATATATCATTCAGAAAATAAATGATCTCTAACAAAATGATCTAATAATTTTTATTAAATGGGAAACTTTATCCTCTTGTAGACCAACCTAGGGTGGCATGAAAATATCTAAAATATATCAAGAATTTTGCAGAATATTCATTATATATGTGAAGGACCTGGATAGAAAGACCTGGAGAGGACAGGAGCTCCACAAGGAGAGCAACAACCAAGAAATCTGGGCCCAGGGATCTTTTCAGAGACTGATACTCCAACCAAGGACCATTCATGGAGATAACCTAGAACCCCTGCACAGATGTAGCCTGTGGCAGCTCAGTGTCCAAGTGGGTTCTCTAGTAAGGGGAACAGGTACTGTCTCTGATATGAACTCATAGGCTGGCTCTTTGATCACTTTCCCCTGATTGGGGAGCAGCCTTGCCAGGCCACAGAGGAGGACAATCCAGCTAGTTCTGATAAGACCTGATAGGCTAGGGTCAGAGAGAAGGGGAGGAGGACATCCTTTAGCAGTGTACTTGGGGAGTGGAGGGGCAGGGGGGGAAATGAGAGAGGGAGGGAGGGCAGGATTGGGAGGGAATGAGCTTGGAGGCTACAGCTGGGATACAAAGTGAATAAACTAGAATTAATAAACAATTTTTTAAAAAAGAAAAAAAAAGCTATAGACACAAAGAGGAAAACGAAATGTAATTTCTTCTTATGGTCAGAGGATCTCTTAAACATTTTATAGCCTAGAGTAGGTTGCATAAGGTTAGTGATCTTGTTTCTTCATATCTAGAGAAATTTTCTTTCCTGTTTTGGCATTATAAAAACTGCCCTTTCCTTATTAATCAATTCTAACAAAAACCTTCTTCCTCAAAAAGCCATCACCATGGTTCTCTTTCTTTTATATAAGATTATCATATAATCACATCGTTTTCTCTTCCCTTTTTTCCCTCCAAAGCCTCCAACATATCCCTCCTTCATCTCTTTCAAACTCATGACCTCTTATTTCAGTAAGTCTCATCAACAGTATGTTTTTAAATAAAAGAAGGAGATCATTAGATATAGTGCCATTTAATGTGATAGCCACTAGTTACATTTGACTACTGAATCCTTAAATAGGGCTCAACAGAACTGAGATCATGAGTGCAAAGTACACTTGCACTTTCAGAGATTTAGAATAAAAATTAATGTAAAATAATTTTCAACATTTTGTGTTGATTACGTGCTGAAAGATAATAAGTTAAATTTCTTTAATTTTAAAAGTTCCT